ATATATATATATATATATATATATATATATATCAATTCGAGGTATTTTAAATTTTATTATAAAGAATGAAATGACAAAAATATATGCATTCACAAGTATTTGTAGATAAAATTTACGGTGAATAATTAATATTTATGAATATTTATTATTTGTGATTAACAAGTAGAACGTATTTTAATATTTTTATAAATGGATTGACTATGACTATCATACGAGTATTATAAAAAAATTAAAATTAAAATTAAAATTTAATTTATATTTTATTAAGTTAAATTTAATTAAAATTAAAATTTAATTTATATTTTATTAAATTTAATTTAATTAAAATTAAAATTTAATTTATATTATATTGTATATATTTTTTATAATTTTATTTATATTTTATTATGAAAATTTATAATTTATTTTTAAAATATTTTTGGATATTTATGAATATTCACGTATTTTTAAAGAGTATTCAATAAATAACAGGAAATAAGTGAAATTTTTTATTGTATACCAGTAACGAATAGATACTTTCTATACTTATTATTATCCTACAATTGATTTAATTATTTAAAATAAGTTTATTTTTTAATATACGAAAAACATTAACTAAACACTATCAATATAAAAATAAATTAATTGTGTTGTCTTATATATGCTAATTATTGACATTTATAGTAAGTCTTAAATATAATAGTAAGTTTTACTTCATTTACAGTTTTAAAAAATAGTTTACCTTGTGAAATGTTATTTAAGATAATAGTTTTCACATAAATTTAAACAAATTGAAACATGTGAATTTAAACAACTCGTTGTTTTGTATTTTATTCTATTAATTGCTTGAATTAAAATAAAATAAAATAACTGAAAAATAGTCTATTAACTTTTGATTGTGATTTTCTATTTGTTTTGTTTTATAACCCAAATTGTGAAACATGTTGAAATATTTTCGTATTTATGTGTTTTGTTTTTTTAATGGATCAAATCCATTTCCTTTTTTCTATTTTCGTAAACCAAATTCTATCTTAATTGAGTATTGAAATAAAAAACGTCACATTATTATGTCATGTAACAAATTAATTCTCTCCTTATTCTTTATTTCCTTCCAATGATTAACTCATTACACTGACGAAACATGATTTATAAGTATATAAAATATTATATTAAAAGATAAAATCATGCACTAGCACATACCAACTCAACACATCTTTTAAAACTGTCTATGCTTATTTATATCAAGATGTGTAAGCATTTTTTTATATTATTAAACATGGTTAATTAAGTATAGCATTTGATTGTGTATAATAAACACAATGAATGAACAAATGCGTATAAAATAAATATTTATATTATTATTTCGATTTTAAATCTGTCAAATAATATTATTACAGTGAATTATTATTAGTAATTCACTTAGTCAAAGTCATTATGAGTATCAGTTTTATAATTTAAAATTCGTGAGATAATATTGTTAAGATTAATTATTATATATTTAAAATATTATCTATTTTAAAGTGTTGAATTTTTTACAGTTTTATAATTGAAAAATGTCTAGATTGATAATAAAGGAAAAGATATTTAAATTATGTTTAATATTAATTCTTAATTAAATTTAAGACTATTAAACAAGTATAAAAATAATTTGATATTTTAATTTAACAAAAGCTACTTTCTCTTCCTTTCCGTTCAAAGAGGGGCAAACAATTAAAAACGTGGGTTCCATATACTTTTATTGGTTTCCTTTTTGTCGTGACACATTATGAAAAAGCTATTTAAAAATTATTCACTATTTGAAGATTAAAAATAAAGAGGAATTAAAGTAATATAAAGTTATTTTTAGACAATCTCTTTCTTTTATAGGGACTTTTCTAACATTTGAACAAGTGATAGGAGTATTATTTTTAAAATAATAATGATTTTTGGTTGAAATTATTCAATAATTGGTAAGTCCTATGTTTTCTTATTATTTTTAGTAAATTTGAAATGATAGAAAAATGTAAAAGTTTTTGCACGGAGTGAGTGGAGGGAGAAGCCGATCACCGACATTTAACGGCTATAATAGCTGTATGTGACGAATTTGCCCATCAATTATTACAAAGCGACAAACCTCTGTGACTGTTTCTTTGTCCCAAAATATATATATGGTCCATGCATGGTACTCCTCCCCTTGCAAAGATAATATATTTCAATTCTCATTTTTTTTTAATTCACTTTTTTTTTTCTTAAAATGAATTTAAATTGAGTTAAAAAAATTACTCTTTAAAGAAATAAATGTGTTTTAAGTTATTAAGCTTATTGTAATTAGTTTTGATACATTTTAATTAAAAAAAATTATAACCACTTTATAATAAGCAAGGTTGTCAAACTCGAGAGTTTACGTAAACTCGTGAGAGTCCAGTAAACTCGACTCGTAAACTCGACTCGTAAACTCGTAAGAGTTTACTTTGTATGAAAAAAATATAAATAACATTCTAATTCAAATAAGATAACAAAATTATATAAATTGAAATACATAAGTTCATAGAAATATTGTTCATAACATAAAGATATAATGTAAAATATAAATTGAAATGTCAAAGTCTCTATGCCTAATCCTCTAATCCTCTAATAATGGCATCATCATCTCCATCATCATCATCATCTAACTCTTCCTCTGATGAATGTTGTGCTTGTGCATCCTTATTGTTCTCAAATGTTATGTTATCAAGATCAAGAGCATCTAAAATAGGATCTGTTGTTGCTCCATCTAAGTGAACATTTTCACTATCATTTTCACCTTCAACTTGATCAATCTCAACAACATCATCTGTCTCTTCAGCTATCCATTCATCATCTGATTCTATGTCATCAAATGGAAGAGCTATAGTTTTTCGAATCTGTCTACTTTTCAGCTTGGAGTTATACATCACATAAACTAAATCATTCATCTTTTTTTGATGTAAACGATTCCTTCTCTTTGTATGAACCTAAAATGAAAGATAATATTTTTAGTGAAGATATAAACATAATAAAGGAATTTATAAATTAAAAATAATTTAAATTACCATTTCAAATGAACTCCAATTACGCTCACATCCAGAAGAACTACAAGTCAAGCTTAAAATTCGAATAGCAAATCTCTTCAACTCTGGAGTTCCATCACCAAACATGTCCCACCATTCCCCAGGATTTAACTCTTTCCTACACTCTTTTGCATCTTCCATTCCAAACAGGCCTCTAGCATTATGAAATTCAACAATTTGTAAATTAATTTTTCTTCTTTCTGCCATATCTGGTATCA